TCCATAAAATAATGGTGAGTTCTTTAGGCATGGAGTTTTCAAGCAAAGAAGAAGCGATGATGGCTATAAAAAATTACAATATCCGTAATTCTGTTCAGTCCAGAGTCAACCGATCGACGACCGAAAAATACGTATGCTATTGTGTCCGACGCGAAAACGGATGCAATTGGATGGTTCGCGTATCGAAAATGAAGAGGAAAAACAACATATGGGAACTAACAGTATATAATGGTCCTCGCACATGTTGTGCTGGAGGGGTCAACCAAGATCATCCCAACTTAGACTCTGAAGTGATATGCTAAGCCACCATGCCCATGGTAAAAGCAAGCTCTCATATAGCTGTTGCAGTATTGATTTCAGCTATACAATCGCAGTATGGGTACACCGTCTCCTATAAAAAGCTTGGTTGGCAAAACAAAATGCCATTGTCAAACTTCATGGCGAATGGGATGCATCTTACAACGAACTTCCAGGTTGGTTTAGGCTGGTGCGGACGTTGAATCCTGGGATAATTGTGGACTTCGAAACCTCCTATGCATACCATAATGATCGAGTTCTTCGCGATTGATGCCAATTCTACCGTGTTTTTTGAAGTTACCCACAGTGCGTTAATGCTGCCAAATACTGTAAGCCTGTGGTCCAGATCGACGGGACTTTCTTGTATGGAAAATACCAGCAAGTTTTATTATTGGTAGTTGTCCAAGATGGAAATCGCAACATTCTTCCAGTTGCTTTTGCTCTTGTCGAAGGAGAAGATACAGATTCTTGGGCTTTTTTCCTCCGAAATTTACGTGCACATGTTATCACGAGGGAAAAAATCTGTGTAATTTCATATCGCGGAGCTGGGATCAAAGCAGTAATGGAGTCTTTGGGTCCAATGTGGCAACCACCCTTTGTCCAACATAGGTATTGTCTCCGACACATTGCTGCGAACTATCATGGAAGGTACAAGAAAAATGATGAGCATCAATTAATTGTGCGCATGGGTAAGTGAAAGCAAGTTTAGTTATAATTTTTGATCATTTTAATTTTGCAAAGAAAGCAAGTTAGTAAGTTATACATTTTTTGATCAGGTTACGAACTACTTCCTCGAACGTTGAATCAATCAAAGAAAGCAAGTTAGTAAGTTATACATTTTTTGATCAGGTTACGAACTACTTCCTCGAACGTTTGAATCAATGCTTCAAGATTTGCGGGCAAAGAACGAGGAATGATACGATTACATCAGCCTCATCGATAAAGAAATGTGGATGAACGCATATGATGGTGGATATCGATATGGACACATGACGACCAAATTGGCTGAGGCAATCAATTCAACCTTAAAGGGTGCACGTCACTTACCTGTAACGGCTTTGGTAAAAACTATATATTTTCGTTTGGGGGTACTTTTTGCGAAGCTCGGGGGACAAGCTCAAACCTGGATGCAAGGCGGTCATGTGTATCACCCTAGATTAGTTGCAGATCTACAGAAAAAAAATTGCTGCATCAAATGGAATGTCTGTAACAAGTTTCTCAAGAAGGCATGAAATGTTTCGTGTCACAGAGTTACCGCGAGCTCTTCAAGGGATTGAAGCTGTGTCGTTAAGAGTAAATCTAAGGGACAGAACGTGCGACTGCGGGTTTTTCAAGCTCTGAAGTATCCATGCTCTCATGTGATAGCAACTTGCTCGCATACACGTCAAGACTATAACCATTTTATAGATCCCGTATACTACTATCTGAAGTTTTTAAGGTATACGAATTTGAGTTTCCCCCATAGGTAATGACAAAGACCCTGATGAGATTCAAGATTGGCTTCCGATTGTACCAAATCCGAATTTATTGAGGGAGCGTGGTCGTCCAAAATCCAATAGAATTCATTGTGATATGGATATTCGAGAAAGATCTAGACAAGACAGAAGATGTGGCCATTGTAGAAACCCAGGACACACTAGAAAAACATGTCCACTTCTGTTGTCATCAAGTAACAATTGATGAGGAAATGATGTATTTGTTTATCAAATAATAATTCTTGTATTTTAATTTGCATTTACTTCAAGTTAATGTCATTCGATAATCGCCGATGAAGATTAAAAAAACGAACACAATCATTAAATTTTATCAAACTAATAACAATTTGGTATTTAAATACAACAAACTTACAATAAGAAATTAAATGGTAAATGATAATCAAATTACAATAACTAATATTAAATGGTAATAAACAAAATTAACTGAAATATATTTAAAAAAAGTCCAACAAATTTAATAAAATAAAGTAAGTATTAAATGAGAAATAATAAAAAATTACAATTAAATAAAATAAAGTAAATACAAATATAATAAAAAAAATATATCGATGCCTGCGTCGCGAATGTGTTCCACAGGGAGGTGGTTGTCGGTCTCGAGGAGGATTTCTTCGTATCACTGGTTCTGACTCCTCGCTGTCATCATCATCGTCGTCGTCGTCACCACTATCGTCATCGTCGTCATCGTCGTCGTCGTCATCCTGAGCAGGTACATTAGGTTGATGAGGAGCTGATGACGATGAAGCACCTCCATAGAATAAGGACCCTGAAGGTGTATGACTGACTATCCCACCAGCCTACGAAAACTGGGAAAACAGGGAAAACCCAGACAATCGCTGAGTGTGAAAACTGTACAGGAGGTGTCTGTGCTGCAGCCATGGGTGATGAGTCTGAACCCGCCAAATATCTAGCATATGAACCTCAAGTCGGATATGCAAACATAGACCCATAATAGCCTCCAGGAGGGGTCATCTGTGGCGGTGGCGTGGTCATAAAACCAGGTGAAGGCGGCGGCGGCATCTGTAATGGAAAGGCGATGGCGGAATCAAATATGGCTGCGGCATCATATATGGCTGCGGTGGCTGCTGGGAAGGTCCTACTGGTGCAGTTGAGGATGAACCGGAAGTACCTGCTCTCCGTCCACGAGTCGGGGGACGATGGTGCTATGTCGGTGAACGTCTCTATCGACGTCGTGGAAAGGTCTGCCCTCGTGCATCATCGGGAAGTAGAAACGGTTTCCCGTTACTGTTGAACCACTCATAATAATCCTCAGCATACATCAAGAAGTCAGTAAAAATGGGCTCTCTACGTGGAAGGCGCCAATGTCGATCCTCCCACAACACGACCCACTCATGATGCCTCACCAGCCAATCTGTATCTGTCTTGCCGCGTCTATCTAAGCTATGCAACTCGTCCATATTGCGAGGTGCTTTCGGAATTGGTTGAAAACAACCAAACTGCCGGAGCACGCGATCAGTGGAGTGCCACTCAACGGTCGCATAACAGATCAGAGGGACCATCGCCATCCAAACATCTGATGGACCCCTCAACTCAGGTGTGATCACCGCCCTCACATCATCAGTAGAATATGGCACCCATTCAAACTAAAACAAATAATATATAATTTTTATCAAAATAATAATCTAATTATATAACTATAATCTAAAATCGATTTTTATACATTAAAATTCATACCTGTGTGCAAGCCTTCTAATCGATTAGCACCCTAATTTTTTCTAAATCATCAGGTAGCTCCTGATGATTTTTCCTATCAGTAGACCACCTATTCAAGGAAAAAAATTGTTATACGCTGTATAAAATTATTAATATATAAAATCAGTTTTATAATTACCTCAGAAGTAGTGGAAATACGAATAAGTTCTTCACAACAGGACATAAAAAGGGCAATCGATACCATGCCCAAAACTGCAGCAGCAGGAGACATCCGCCGATAGCATTACGTCTGTAGTCAGTGGCTCCACACATCTCCCTGTACAGTAAAGCCAAAACTGTCGAGCCCCAACTGAATGATCCGGCGAGACGAAAGTCGCTAAGATGTCGCAACCACATCCAGTGAACTAGGTTGCGCGATTTATCCGGCATCAGCAACCCTCCTATCAACTGCAGTATGCATGCCCGTACATACATCTTAACCTCATCCTAAGAGGCGTCTACGCTCAACTCCCGAAAATTGACATCTAACCAATTTAACGGTATCCTACCTCCGATAAAATTTTCCGGGACACGTCCTAGACTATCCCGACACAAAGTAGTCCAAGAACCGGAAGCTATCCCCGATATCACATCTCCATCCACCGGAAGCCCCAGGTGCATAGAAACATCCTTAAGCGTGATCGTGCACTCTCCGCACTGAAGATGGAATGTGTGGGTCTCCGGCCTCCACCGTTCTACTAAGGCAGAAATCAGGCCTGGCTCTATCTTATAGTGACCCTGATATCTACCTATGTAACCGAATCCAGCCTCTACTAAATACGGCAAGACACGGCTAGGTATCACTAACTTAAGATTCCTAATAAAAGGATCTAATACACGATCATTCTCTTAAAAATAAATAATTAAAAAAATTAATTCTTAATCTAATAATCATGCATTAAATAAATCAACTAAAATATTACTAATAATTTAAATTAAATTAAAACGTTAAAATGTTACTGTATCAGTAAAGTGTAGAGATATATGACTTCCATCTGAGCGAAGTAGACTGCCTTCCATTATATATCTGCAAAAGAATTATATTAGTAAAATATTAAATAAAGTAAGTACATAATAGTAAAAATATTATAAAATATACCTTAAAAGATAGAGTATTTAAGAGAAATTTAGAGAATTTGGTGTGATAAAAGTGATTGAGGATAGGGGTATTTATAGGAGGATGGGGACGTGTATTTAGGGGTATAGCGCGCCCCCTACACCGCGCTTTACCCCACGTGTTAAATACCCAGGTATAGCGCGGATCAGGGGGCGCGCTATACCCACGTGGCGTCAGATCACCGTATATTGAAAGACAGGGGACGCGTTATACCCACGTGACGCCAAATCAACGTATAGCGCGATTCAGGGGTACACTTTACTACTACGATTGTTAGATCGAGAATTATAATCTGACCGATGTTAGATCAGTAAATATACCGATCACCGGTGATTTATTAGAAAATTGCCGATAATTCAACCAACCACGTAATCAAGCCTATCCCAATTTAGTAAACGTCGGCCGGAAACCGTCAAAACCGTTAACTTTATCCGTCACTTATTTTTCACATGACCGCAAGCCTTGAACAGCCAAACGGATGGGGAGATAACGGAGATAACGAAGGGATACTGAATATTCCCTTCATATCTTCACTATCCCAAAACCCCGGTCCAATTTGACGGCGTTAAACATGCTCCCGGCTCCTTCGCCGGCACGGTCTCGTATTCCTCCACCGACTCTCTTTTCACTACTTTACTTTCGATGCTTCGTTCTTCATCGTCTTCCTCTCTTTTCCTTTTCATACAAGATGAATCCTCTGTTAATTCTGAATCTCCAGAATCAGATTTCCCAGCTTCAAGAGGGAAATTCACAATCGCCCTGCTTCCCCGCAGCTTAAACGCTGCTCTATCATAAGCATTAGCAGCTTCGATGGCGGTGTCAAAGGTCCCCAGCCAAACCCTCGCCCCTTTCCTGTTCGGGTCTCTGATTTCGGCAGCGAATTTGCCCCACGGGCGTCTCCTAACACCCCTGTAATGCCTTTTCTGGTCACAGTCCGATGATCCGACCGTGTTGCTCATGTTCAGTTTTGCTGCTGGAATTGTTACGTTTACAGCAGGACGACGTTGGCTCAGAGTAGATTGTTTCAGGCTGGAAGCTTGAGGGATTTTGGGGGTTTCAACCATGGAAGTACAGTGATCAAGATTGGCAAGAAAAGAATCCAAGGAAGCAAAGTCTGTAAGAAGATGTTGGGTAATTAGTTCCAAGGCTAATGTTGGTAATACTGGATTTGGATTAATAATTGGAAGAATGTGGAAATGGGAGAGACTTGAATGAATGAATGAACTGAATTGAGTGAAAAGGACAGAGCGTGAGGGTTGGTATTTAAAGGGAAGAAAAACTAGTTGCAGATGCACATTTCAGACAAGCTTCCAGGATAGATCCTGGAAGGATCGTGGGGACCACATTGTCTTTCTTTGGAATATTTTATGTTCCGTATCCATAATAATAGGTATAATGCCAAAAATAGCCTCAATGTTTATTAAGATGGTCATTTTGACCTATATTCTTTTTTTAAGCATTTTGGCTCATAACGTTTCACTTTGGGGCATAAAATTCCTTCTATAGATGAAAACTAGTAGTTAACACATGATTAACACTCCAGAATAAGAGTCTTTTTAACCTAAAATGAAACATTGCGGGTTAAAATATACCAAAAAATAGACAAAGTGATTATTATGTCAAATATTAGGGGTCTTTTTATCCTAAAATGAAACATTAGGAGCAAAAAATAATCCAAAAAATAGAATAGGGGGCAAAATGACCATTTTGATAAACACTAGGGGTTAATTTTGGCATTATGCCTTCTCTTTTTAAACCATTGTAGCCTCCAATATTTTATTTTAGGATAAAAAACTCCAAATATTTGACTAAATAGTCACTTTTAATCCATTTTTAGAGTATTTTAGCCCCCAATATTTTATTTTAGGATAAAATATCCCTATTTTGGAGCTTGAACCATTTGTTAACTAATGATTTTCATCAATAGAGGGGTTTTTTTGCCCCAAAATAAAACGGTGGGTCAAAATACTTTAAAAAATAATATGGATCAAAATGACTATTTTGATTAATGTTGGTGGGCTAATTTTGGTATTATGCCTAATAAATAATACTGTAAATTACCTATATGGTTACCACCTATTACTTAGTTTTTGTGTTGGTCATGCAACTATTATTTTTTTTCAAAATTACATTTAATGTTACGTTTTGATTCTGTCTTGTTCACTCGTCATTAAAAAATTAATGGTGATGTTGATGTGACATTTTTAATTATTTTTCAGTGTTGATTTGATATTATTTAATTATTTTTCAGTGTCGATTTGATATTATCTTATGAAGAAACGTTACTATTATCGTTAATTTTTTAATAATATAGAACCAAAACATAACGTTATAGATGATTTTAGAAAAAAGTAATAATTCAGTGACTAAAACAGAAATTAAGTTATAAGTGGATGGCAAAAATATGTAATTTACCCTAAATAATAATCTTAGCTTCCCGGGAGCTTCTTCTGCTGATATATTAGATTCTGAGCTATGACTGCTAATTTGTTTATTTGTATATTTTACTAACAAATGTTGAAAGATTATCCATCAGTCAAACTATTTACATTATTATATTCATTGACAGCTTTCAATGTCTGTAGGACTTTCAGTAACCAAGTTTTTAAAATGTAATTAAATAATAATAAAACCAGTCAACAAGCTATTTAATAGAGGATAACCTATTTATAGAAATGGATAAGAAATTGCTTATATGGGTGAGGTAATTGTCCTTCCAATTTATAGTAGTTTTTGATAAATAAATAACCATGTTCCTTAGAAATTTAATGCATTCATTGTATTTATGTTGGATAAGTATAGAGTGAGTGACACGTATTGATATGCATCATTATTGATGTGTATTGATATGTACCATTAATATAAAAATATGATTTCTAAAAAAAATATATGAAAATAATTTATTTTTAAAATTAAAAATTATAATATTTTGAAAATTTTTCATTCATCAAATTATCTATAACTAATTATTTATTAATCGTGATTGTATTTGTAAAAAATAATTTTCGAGATCCAAAAAATTAAATTATCAAACAATGTAATTATTTTTTAGTAAACGATGTGATTCAAGCACTTGACTTTTGTTTAAGAAGTTTAAATACAAATTTAAAAAATACATTCAGAAAATTATATTATCACATTAATAGGAAAAATACATCTAAACTTAAAAAAATTAATCGAAACAATCTTTAACTTTTAATAATGCAGTATAAATTCAATATTTATAATATGACACTAGAAATAATATTTAATTTATTTATATTCATTTTATTTTCAATTCAATGAACATAATAAAAATTATTTTAATTGAATTAATAATAAAATGAAACTTTAGTTAAAATTAAAGGGACAAATGAGATATTTTCTATTAATTTAACATGTCATGTCACATATTTAATGATAGATAATGATATTGAGCCCATTTTAGATTAAAATATAAAGTTTAATCTCTATTATATAACTTTTAAAAGTTTGGTATCTAAAAAGATAATTTTGATATAAATTAATGTCCATTTAGGCTAGCTTAAAATTTTAAAAATTTAGAGGTTTAAATTAAGATTTTTAAATTTTTTGAAGAGTTTAGTTTATAATTTTTTTTTTTAAAAAAAGGATCTAACTACAATTTTTGAAATTTTGAGAAGCTTAATGAAAAAAAATTAAACTTATGAGAGGGTTTTTAATTAAAAATATTAGAAAATTTTAAAATTTAAATTGAATTTTTAAAAATTGGATGGGCCAAATTGAATTTTTAAAAAGTTTAAAGGTCAAGATTAAATTTTTTTAAATTTTGGGGAGGTCATGGGCCCCCTAGCCTAACCTACGTTCCGCCTCTGGTTATATGGATATGAAATATAACAGTCCAATATTAAAGATAAATATTAAGGTTTTTTTTAATAATCTAGGGTGATTATAAGGTAGTATATGTTTTAAAGATTCTCAATTATTAGACAATGAATGACCAAACACACTTGCAGTTTCTGATGCTTGAGTCATAAATATCTAGAGATAACAATAATCCTTTTAACTGCCGAAGTAACTTGATTAGTAGGATTTATCTTAATATTGTACGATTCTTGAAATATAGTGTATTTATTTTATCATGTACGATTCTAATATAAATATAGACAAACAGCGCAAACACAATTGGTCTTTTGCTTTGTTGTGAACATTGGATTAGAGATAGAATCGATCAAACCCTTAATTTTCAATTTAAAAATTAAGTTATGATTTAATATTAAACTAATATAGAATTCATATCAATATATTTATTATGGTCTAATGATTAGTATGCTTATCAAGTCTTGAAATGCCTATGAGGCTAAAATTAATAGGTTAATAAATTCCTAAGTGATGTACAAGTTGAATTATAAATCAATTTCCCCACGTTTTAGATCAGATTCAAACACATCCAGGTATGAGATTATTGGGGGTTTATTGTTTTTAATTAATTGAGATGGTCAAGGTTTATGAAAAAAAATTAAAATTTTATTGTCCGACACTGATTCGCTTTTCCAGCAAGTTAGCCATATCAAACCTTACGATACTATAAGTTGCTTAATGATCTTAGACCCAAACAAGTTAAAAAGAGAATTTTTAAAATAAAGCTCAAATTAGAAGTATCCAGCGGTGGATCCATTGAGGGCTGAGCTGGGTGAGTGCCCACATTAAAATACGAATTTTATTCGGTTAGTTACTTATTTTATTAACAGTATATATCCTAAAATTTTATTTATACCCACTTTGGAATCTAAATTTTTTTCGTGTAATTACATATTTTATTGATGATGTCCATAATGAAATTTTATTTATGCCCACCTCATTCAAAAATTTTGTGTTGGCGGGAAATATGAGATGCTCTCACTTTGTTTAGACATGCATTTTGGGGGCAATGTCTTAGCATTTTAAATGCTTATTTCATCAATTATTTTCTTCATCTTTTCACCTCCTCATCTTCTTCTTCCCTTTCAAAGAGGATGAAATTTTAAGATGAACTATTTTTCTAGGGATCATTTTCACTTCGAAAGTTTTAAAGGTGAGCTTCATCTTTCTCATCTATAAACTTCAATAAAAGTTGTGAAACACTAAAAAAATAGTGGTGATAAAAAGAATAATATTTTTTAAGGATTATGAAAGGGGAAGGCTTTACATTATGTTCTTTATTTTTTATTTATTGTGTTTTTGTAAGGGAAATATCGATACCATAATCATAGGGTATCAATACAAAGGGTGTGATATCGATATTGGGGCTTAAATAGGTATTGATACTCATTAAGAGCATCGATACCTATAAGGTAGTATCAATACTCATGTAGAGATATTAGTACTAGGAGAGTTAATTCAACTTTGACTTGAGTACCGATACCCTTTAGGAGAGTATCGATACATGTTTGGTGATATCAATACTATGGATAATTATTTGCACATCAAACTCATTTTTGATTGTGATACTCAGGGTAAGTATCAATACATTTGGCTTGGTACCGAAACCCAAGGGTATGTATCGATATCCAAATGAGAAAAGGCTAGTGACATGTATTATTAATCAAGACTTGAGAATGATGAGTCTAATAACGTTGTGATGGAATAATAAACTTAAAAGCGAGAACTTGACTAAATGTGATTTTTCAGCATAAGAATATTATGATTTAAGATTTCATAAAACTTATGTTTTTATTTGATACAAGAGAAACATCGAGGATACTCAAATTACTTGTGTACGACGATCATCTAGTATTGTATAAGGAATATACATAAATCCCAAGAATTATGTTGAGGCACATAGAATGCTAGCTCGATGATGTTCTAACGCTATTTGACCTAGACTTCATTTGTAGTACTCTAGAGTAGTAGGCTAGTCCAATGTACATTACTGATGCATATGTGACCTAGATCTCACCAGAGGTACTAGACTAATGTTGGTCAAATGAATGTACGTTCCTGATGCATATATGAGTAGAGTTCTATCTAACATGATGTCATTAGTATACCATAAGAATATGAGTTATCGATGCTATATGACGTTGGGTTACATCATGATGTGTACTTGTGTGTTATGAATTATAATGCATGATAATTTCTTCTTGACTATACTTGATGGCATGCTCATATGATGAATGCATGTGGTATAGTAAAGTTATTTTTATGGAACTGAACTT